AGCATGGCGACTTTTCAGGCAAGACATGGATGCAACAGTTTCTTTAAACTGAGAAACAGCAACAGGGAGAATGAAGTCATCACTCTGCATGTTAAGACTCAGCTTTCCAAGAATGGAGAACACATCCGCCAAAAAGTGGCAAAAAGCTGCACACTAAACATTTCTCATCTTCTTTGAAATGGATTTTTCATGACCTTTGATCTCAGTGCTGCTTGAGGAAGTACTTGAGTGTTCCATATGGCAAAGTACAAGTGACAAGTTGGTTCTTCTGATATTTATGCATCGCCCGACTTGATAAACACTTTCAACTCTTGGCTGACGTCTGGCAACCATTGTGTCCCAAGTACTTGAGTTGGTTTTTAGTGCTTCTTTGTTTAGCTCACTTGCGAGAGCCTTCAAATCGCGTGAACTTTTGACGCTATAGTGGTGAGTCTTCCACACAAGGTTAAGCACATCACAGACCTCTTTGACTGACTTGCAACTCTTTTACATTTCCAGGAGAGCGAGTTCAAGTCTGTGAGGCAGACAGTGGAAGACTACATGATCTGGAATATCCTTTCTCATGAACACCGCTACTCCTCCCTTTTTTCCAAGGTCAACACTTGCCTCATCCGCTCTGAACGCGACAACTCTTCTATCCCACTCAGTGATATCATCACTGGGGCTTACAATTGCTTCTTTAATTCCTACAAGAATCATTACAAAAAGAAAGAGGTTGTCTAAAGACGATATTAAAAATGAAGACTTCATTCACTGTTCAATGAACCGTTTCTAAGGCTCAGAAATGGCACCCTTTCAACCATGAGAATGCATACATTTAAATTATGGTGTGCGTTATGTATGTCAGGTCCCCGTATTGTAGTTACCTTGGTGTTTTTTTTAAACATGACTTCATTCTACCTCGCCATATTCACTCACCTCCTTTCAATGTTGAACTGAAGTACTTCTTTTACTCTGTTCACCTTGCCGAGATACTTTACCCCTATTATTATTATCTAACTTATCTTTCAGGTACAACTACAAGGTAGAAAGTTGAATGGGTAGCAGATAGAGGATGTGTCATTTTACTGGCTGGTCCATTTACCAAAAGGAATAGATTCAATCATAAATATATAATAAACTTACCCACGGCATGAGCATGTGTGACAGCCTTGTGTCCCCATATGCAGATTACAGGCACTCCATCTCTCACAAAGCGGCAAACTACTGTTTCATTCTCAGTACCTCCAAAGTCAGCCGTTCTATCTGCCATTAAACTGAAGTAATTCTTCCATTTTAGCACGTGAATGGGGTCATCCCTAAAGCCTTCTGACAAAAAGGAAACAAGTTCTGCACAGCTTTTCTTGTTTGCATATAAGTTATTTAGTATGACTCCAATTTTGCTCTGCGACATCAGTAACCCCTCAAATTTTGAAAAAGGTAGCTTTTCTTTAGCAATAAAGTAAGTGGTGTTGATTTTGGCTTCCATCTCTTTCCACCGTTGAGATTGCATGTCTTTGTTTATCTTTGAAAATGACTCAACAATCTAGCTTTCCACAATCGACTTTTTCTTTGCCTGCAACATATCCCTTGCACAAATATGACCATTGCTGTTGGCGTGCTTCCTGATGGTTTCTTTTTTGAGGTTGAAACATCCTTTCAAAAAAAGTCTGTCTTACCGGCTTCACTTGAATTTGCACAGCACAAGTTGCAAATCATCACATTTTCTTCAGCATCGAATCAGAGCCAGGGAAATTCTTCTTTCCCTTTTGGGTTAAATTTCTGTAATGTACTTGCCTTTTCTTTGCCTGCTTGTTTCTTTAGACTAGGTGATTTTGATAATAGACTTGTTGAAGTTTCCTTTATGAAGCCGGAAAAACAGTTTTGGATCTTCACTTTAGGCCTCTTTGATACACTTGATCCTAGTTGAAAACCAGAGTCTTTAAGATGTCCTCTTTGCTGGATGGATCACTTGGTCTAGAACTCTTCTTTCCCTCATTCTCTTTAACTGACGTCTTTCCACTTTCCAGACGTCCCATGCTACCCTGGATACTGTCTTCCTGATCAGGCTTTTCCGATTGACATTTTTGTTTTTTTTTGTCCAGTTAGGTACAAGGGACAGAATTAGGTGGCTCCATTGAAGAGCAAGGTTAGATTGCATTGTGCAGGCTTGGCAGACTGAGTGGTTTGTATGAGACATATAAAGGGTCACCCCCTGGCGTCGTTGGTCAGTTTTCAACTGTTTAATGTGCACCATTCAGTAGTGCTGACGGTCCAGAGACTGATGAGAAGTGACATCACAGAGGGCAAGATGGTGTTAGGGGTTAAAGCCCTCCTTGGGCTGTAATAGGGACCTTTAGCAAAGAGACTTTTCAGGACGGCGACAGCGCCCGGAAGTGAAGTTTTACTTCCGTTTGAGGTCGTTCATTTGGTGTGAAGTCGTCTAGGCTCAGCACCGACCTCAAAAGACTTGTTTTCACTGTGTGTAGAAAACGTGAGTAGATACGAGGCTTTTGTCTGCCTATAATCGTTTTTTTCTGGCCTTTTAGTTTTCATAACTTAAGGGAACACCTCGTAATTTACTTGAATCGCTTTTGGCATAAAAATTATTTTATTCATTGCATTTTAAAAGGACAGCTGTAAACTCAGACTGACTATCGCGGCATCTGATGATCAAGGGCAAGAATCCAAGTGAGTAAAATTACTTGGCCACGGTTTTTAGCTGCTTTGATTCTTCATTCTTGCAAAAGCTACTAGATAACTTATCAGCTATCAAAATGTTTTTATTTAAAACATATGTTGTTGTTGTATAAGATTTAAGCTTAACGTTTACATGTATTTCAGAACTTTTAAAGATTGTATCTTGGACTAATTATATAAATTGGAAGCCCCATGTTCACAAGTATACATACTTTGAAGAATAAATGTTTTCAATGTTTATTTTGTTTGCTTTTAAATCTGATTACTGGAAATACTCCTAGAGTAGGGGGCTCCAGGTTGAAAAATTCAGACGTCTGATTACCATATAAACAAGTTATGGCATTTCGCAGTAAAGCACATACAATATACATTTTTCCTATGCTGCTTAGACCTATCTTTTTTAATTTTTCTTGTAATCTAAAAACTTAAAGGAATTAAATGTGTCCCCAAAAAGCCATTCCACGGACACTCATACTGCACTCATTGCTTTATTATAATCTTCCATTTATTGGGTTAGACGTCCCTGGCGATATGGTGCCTGAAGATGAATCCGGAGGGGATAAGCCGGATCGCCATAAACGCACATAGGTTGGCCACCTGGGGAAAAGGCGAAGTTCCCCATGTCATTCAGAAGCCCAGAGTCAGCGAGCATACCTGCGTCATTTTTTCGTCCCTCTGAAACAAAAGTTCATAAAAAAGTCTTGGGAACCCATATGAATAACATTGTAATTAATCTTATTAAGATTCAGTGAAAATATTTAAGTTCTTACCTACTGGCCCAAAGATGTTTCCTATAAGTCCATTCGGTAAGGTAATGGACTGAAATTTTTTAGTCCACGAACCCGTTTGTGTCCATTATACACAATCCTCTGTCCATTCCCAGGTCTAGATTGGTCGGACCATCCCATCTATGAAACTGAAGCAGTTATTTAGAGGAGACCCCTTCTTTGAAATGGTTTCAGAATACTGTTGAGGAGCAACTGAGCTTAGTACATCTCTATTCCACTCTGTTACGAGATGACAGTAATTGTCATAAATAAAATCCATGACTTCATTTGTAATTAAACTCAAAACAGAAACTGGTCTTGGAAAATGTTGAATCATATCGCTGAATCTGCAGGATTAACTTGTTCGTCTCAGCAGCACACACGGTCCCTCCAAACCATCACAAATGCTTTTCTGTTTGCAATGGAACACTGCAGGAAGATGTAAGGCGAGGAATATGCAAGACAAGGAAGGTCTGCCTTTTCAACACGAAATTCGGCCTTGCAGTCAGTTGCATTCATGTTTTGTAGATCGAAAACATCATACAATTGATAGCCGAAATCTGGTTTTTTTGAACGATAATAGTCGTAAAATGGAACAAATTCTTCGTCCAAAATGTTGTTGTCTACATAGCTAAGCAAAAGTATCTCTTACAAGTCTTAAATTTATTTGTTTTCAAAGAACTCGGCAAGTTGCTGTCGGAAAATGAAGGGTGCGAAAGGTTTATATTTTGGCGGGAACAACGCTGTCCTCGCCCCAGTCTCTTTTGTCCACCGACGTCACCGCCACTATGAAAACTCTCGGTGCTAAAGGTCCCTAATGTAAACTCTCCAGTACGTAATAACAAGAAATGGCCACAGGTAATTGCCGCCTGGTAGACAATGTGGAGTGGAAGGTCACAAACGGATGAATTTTTGCAGAGAAGATTAAAAGGTAATTGGCATCTCCCGTTTCAATGGGGTGAAATGATTCCATTTGATATTATGCAGAGTTTGCTTCAGTCAGAGACCAGGAATCAAGGGGTTGTTGTAACTATTAGAAACATGAAAAGAGTGAACACCGGCAAAGGTAAACATTAATGAACTGAGGCTTTATACGTGCTGCCAGGGAGGTGACAAACAAGATTAAGGTGTCTTCTGATACAAGTAAGGGAGTAAAACCATAAGTATCACAGAAGCTAAGGAACTGTCTCTTTGCAGCACCGTAATTCTAGTGAGTAGTGTCCATGAGACCAGAGCAAAACTACTTTTGGGTATTTACATGAAGGTGGTTGAGGGAACACGTTGCAGGAACATCCTATGCTCGCTGGCCGTTGGACAGAGGTAGTGCAACTTGGTTACCTGCAAATGACATTGCCAGTTGTTGTGTCTCGCAGAATTGAATGAATCAAACTAGTACAACATAACAAAGTTTAATCAAACATGGTGGGTTACATTCAATGACAGGCGCACATGGCATGCGTGCGCATAAGAGTAACAAAGCCACAGACCATGTGCAACATAGCATTCTTCCCCCCTTAAATCACATTCTATTAGTAACGCACAAGTTCAGTTCAGTTACAGCTTCAGTCTCTCTGGTGGCTTCTGTAGCCGAAGGGGATAACGTCTGCATGGTGGTGTTGCTGGACTGCTAACCATGGTCTCACTTTGGCTGCTGGTAGGGTTGTCAGGGGTGTTGTCAACATGTGTATCTTTGGTCCTTGGTTCCTCCATGCCACTCATAGTGGAAGCCTGTAATTCTTCATTCTCCACGGTACTTGCTGATTGTGGTGTTGCTGCCAACACCGCTGGGTTTAATCGCGATGTGTACTGTTCCTTATTAAAGTTTGGAGTCACTGCAGACTCTCTGAGTTGATCAATATGCTGTCGCCATACTGTATTGGGTGCAACCTTGACTTCATATGGCAAGGGTCCTGAGTGAGCTGTGATGATCCCTGGAACCCACTTGTTTCAAGCTCTGTAGTTTCAGGCAATGACAGCTTGGCCAAACTCTAGCTTTCTGGCAGGGCTGTGAATTGACTGTAACTCTCGATCTTGCTGTTTGTCTTCCACTTGCTTCCGTAAGTTAGGCTTCAGTATATCAAGCCTTGTCCTGATGTTTCTCCCTATGAGGAGCACAGTTGGTGTCTCTCCAGTCAAGGCATGTGGGGTTGATCTGTAGGCCAGCAAAAAGTTTGCCAGCTTCCAAGAGATAGATTTCTTTTCCGCCAGTGCTGCGAAGAGAGCTTGCTTGAATGTCTGTACAAAACGTTCAGCCATTCCATTTGTGGCTGGGTGGTACAGAGCTGACTTAATGTGATTAATACCATTACTTTGTCGCATGAATTGTCCGAATTCATCTCCTATGAATTGAGGTCTATTATCGCTTACAAGCTGTTCTGACAAGCTGTGTGTGGCAAAGAGCTTTCTTAGTTCCTCATCAGTATCACTATGGGCCATTTAGAATGTGCATCTACAACAATCAGAAACATAACTCCTAAGAATGGGCCAGCAAAGTCAATGTGGATGCGTTGCCATGGTTGTGCCGGCCACTCCCGTGAGTGGAGTGGAGTGGAGTGGTCTTAGGATTGTTCTGGGTAGGTTGATAGCCATTGCACCCCTTTGCTACTTCTTCAGTTGCTTTGTCCATCCCTGGCCACCACATGTAGCTCCTGGCCAAGGCCGTCATCTTAATGATTCCAAGGTGGCCTTCATGGAGCTCAGCTAACAGTTGTGCCTGGTGCTTGGGTGGGATTATCACTTGTGAGCCCCACATAAGGCAGCCATCTTGTAAGTTGAGCTCATCTTTCCTCCTCTGAAATAGCTCCAGCTCCTTCTCACTAACAGCTGGCCACCCTTGCTTTGTGTTTTCCATCACACGTGACAAACCAGATCTCTCTGGGTTGCTTTTGACGGATCATATCTGCATTGACTGGCAGCACTTTTATCTGGGATGCTTGAGAAATTTCCACTGGGTCAACCACTTCCTTGTCACTGGCTAGTCTCAATGGCCATCCAGGATCATAACGGGTGAGTACCATATCTGATGTGATCAGCTCCTTTGCTGATTGGAAGGCCTCCTCACACTCTGTGGTCCATCTCCATCGTTTTCCTTGCTCCAAGAGTACATTAAGGGGATTGTGTGTGGTGGCAAGGTTTGGCAAGAACTTGTGGTAGTAGTTTACCAGGCCTAAGAATGAACGGAGTTGCTGGACATTCTCTGGTCTTGGGGCATTAACAACTGCATGAATTTTCTCTTGAGTCTTGTGTAACCCGTGCCAATCTACTTCGTGTCCACGGTAAGTGATCTTTGTCTGGAAAAACTCGCACTTCTTGTGGTTTGCTCATAGGCCATTTGCCTTCCTCCAGATATTCAAGGTGCTCTTTGTCATCTTTTCCTGCGATAATCATGTCGTCTAAGATGCAACTAGCTCCCCTTCTAAGATTTGATCCATAGATCTCTGCCAAATTTGCTGGGGCTGAAGTGATCCCAAATACCAGGTGGTTGTATCGGTACAACCCCTGATGGGTGTTAATTGTCAAGTACTCTTGTGACTCTTCCTCCACTTCCATCTGATGGTAGGCCTGTCTGAGGTCAATCTTGGTGAACTTCTGCCCTCCTGCTAGCTTAGCAAATATGTGATCAATGTGTGGGAGTGGGTACTGAAGCTGGGGGTTAACTGTGGTCTTATAGTCACCACAAATTCGAACTGTGCTGTTTGATTTGGCAACTGACACAATAGGCATTGCCCAATCGCTGAATTTGACCTTGTGTAGTATGCCTTCTTTTTCTAGACGTTTCAGCTCCACCTCGACCTCAGGTTTGGTTGACTGCCTTCCTTGAACATGAGTTTCGCCTTGGCTGACTTAAATGTGCCAATTTCATCCCTAAACACCTCACTATAGTTGTCTATGAGTCTCTCTAATTTCTTCTGGATGTCTTGTGTCGGCTGTTCTTTTGAAATAGCACACATCCTTTTCCAATCCAGTTGGATCTGGTGTAGCCAATCTCTTCCAAACGACTGCAGCCCTTGTGTTTTCACTACATATAACGTTAAGTCCTTGACTTGGTTGTTGTGTTCCACCCGAACAGGTAGTTTGCCTTCTGGTGTTATCTTCTCTCCTGAGTAGGTTTTCAAAATAGCGGTAGTGTCAACTAGAGGTGTGTTCGGGAAGGTTTCCTTGTACGTCTCCAAGGGGAGTGTAGATACGCTGAACCTGTGTCTAGCTCCATCTTCAGTGTGTGGCCATTAACTTTCGGTTTCACCCAGATGATGGTTAACGTTATTGACTTCTAGGGATGCCACCAAGCTATCATCATCTACCTCGAACGACTGAAGGTTGGGGTTCTCATCCCATCGTCTTCGGGTAGAGTTCTGACTTTTTCCTTAACGGCATACTCTCTGGATATAGCCTAATTTCCCGCATTTTCGGCATGTTTCCTTCCTGAAGTAACCCTCGGCTGACTCATGTGTACTAACCCTGGTGTACTACCCCCGCATTGATAACACTGAGATTTTGATTTGACATCATCTTTCCCTTTAGGAACTCTTTCGCTAACGTTGTTTATTTTGTTGACTTCAGACTCTTTATTAATGTTACCCTGCAATTCTAGTGTGTCTTTCGCTGCCACTTCCATTGCTAAGGCAATTTCTGACGCTTTGGCCAATGACAAATCTGGCTCGGAGAGCAGCCGTTTCTGGATAAGTTCATTGTGTAGTCCACATACTAGTCTATCTCTTAACATGTCATTCAAGTTAGTTCTGAATTCACAATACAGCAACAATTTCTTTAAGTTAGCAAGGTAAGCACTTATGGTTTCACCTTCGAGTTGGTTCCTTTTGTGAAAGCGGAATTGCTCCACTATGAGCATCTCGGTGACAGATGCTTCTGTAGTGTTTCTATGATAGTCTTGAAAGACAGGCTGGATGGCTTGGCGGGGGCAGCCAAATTGCGTAGTAATCCATACGTGTTGTTTCTCATTAAGCTAAGCATTACGGCCACTATTGCTCTATATGTTCCACAGAGGCGTTTCAATCGTTGTTTGTTTCGTCAAACGCTTCAATCTTTCCAATCAGCATAGTGGCAAAAGCTCAAAGTTTCTCTAGTTGCTGCGTAGGATCTAAATCCTCATTGCTAATCTGTTGTGTCTTGCGGAATTGAATGAATCAAACTAGTACAACACAACAAGGTTTAATCAAACATAGCGGGTTACATTCAACGACAGGCGCGCATGGCATGCGTGCGCACAATAGTAACAAAGTTAAAAGGCATGGACCTTGACAGGGAAATGTGATGAACCATAAACGAACAAGAGAACCATTCACCAGCAAAATAGGCGCCAAAGGCTGGGTGGGTTGCGTTGGTGAAAAGTTCCAATGAAGAACTAGACAGCCGTGCATCCACATAGAAGAAACTATGGCTGTTCCATAATGTGAGAAAGGTCTGCCTCCAGTGAATATCCTTATGAAATGCAACGGTTAGGCAGATGAGAAGGGTGTGTAGCCTTGGTGAGTAAGTTGATTGTGTGATGAAAGGTTCTACCCAGGCGGCATACAGAAGAAATGAATTGAAGCTTTCCAATTAGAGATTGCAATTGTTGCTTAGTACAATGTGTATGGGATGACCATATATAGAACATGTGTAGAGTTTCAGTTTGGCAAGCTTGGTCAATGCGTGATTCCTGAGCAATTGAGTCTAATTCAATGCCAAGGAGGATAAAGTTCTTGTTCGGTTGAAATGTTTTCTCAGGGTTGGTTTTGAAACCAAGCTCCTTGCACATTCTCAGCATAACATCAAGCAAATTCTGGCAGTGCGGAGAGGAGAAGGTAGGCCACAAGTCCAGAAATTGTCAAGATAGTTCCAAATGGGTGACGCACCCTTAAATGACATCACAAACTTGAGCCCATCGACAAATTTAAGAAAGAGAGCAGGTGAACTCTGAAGACCAAAAGGAAGTAGTGCCTAAGAAATAACCAGTAACAATGGTACCGTCAATCTCTATGGGCCATGTGGAACCTAATGGTTCCCATTCCTCGTCATAAAAAAGGAACGATGCACTAGGGCCGAAGTGGTTAAGAAGTGTTATTGTGTGGTCGAGCCAAATAGATTTCGTTAAGCTCTCTCAGATCTCCCCTTGAGTAGGCATTGGAGATTGTTTCTCCACCATCTCTCCTAGGTTGTTCCTGCTGCTCTTTGAATATAATATTTTGATAGTTATTCTCAAAGGATTCCAGTGGTACTGCATTTCTAGGATCTAGGCTTATGCTGCTCCAAAGTTGACAAGTAGTAACTGAACATCCTACCGCCTTCGGTCAGCTGATTAAATTTTGGGCAAATAAAGTTCATGTTAATATGTTGACTGTTGAGTCTTAAGTAGTCTTTGATATATAGGGGAACTCCATCCTTGATGTATTTGTATGCCACACAACATTGAGCTATTTTCACTTCTTCATAAAAGGGAAGCCATTGAAGACCTTTAAAAAGCATAACACTAGACTAGACTGTCTAGTTTTCTGTTTCAAATCAATTTTCTATTCCATAGAAAAAGGCTACACAGTTAGTCATCGTGGTGACTAACACCAGCAGTTAAGTTTATTGTTTGTCTCCTAATGTAGTCAACAATGATGTTGACTGGTTGTGCTTCATCCCATAAAGAACTGGGTGGTCCACTGTCATTCATTATTTTATCATCAGCTGTGATTGGCACATTGCCATCCCTGTTGCTTTGGCAAAATGTTCCGCTGCAGTTGGCTCTTATATGGCTGTTCAGTTGTTGTGTTTCTTGATCATGGGAATCCATGCTTCTGAAATTTCTATTTTACTGTCCCTGTTGATATTGTTACGGTTAATTGCCTCTCTGACCCTGCGTGTGTAGCTGTGGGTATACTTTCAAGCAAAACTAAACAGTTCATGATAGAAGGCGGTTGTTAAATCAAATGGCTTTTCCAAAGTGGGACCTTACACCTAGAAGAAAGGTTGATTAACTTCCAATTTCTCCTTACAAATGATTTCCACTTTCATCACTGGCTTCTTCATTCTCATCACTGCCTTTGTCATACTCAGGCTCATCTATGGATTCATCTCTGGCTTGCTCCTCTGTCGGATTATCTTCTCTAGGTCCTCCAATCTTCCTGTTCATTGGCTTCTTTGAATAAGACATTTATGGGTTTTTCAGAATCAATGCAGTGTCACTGGTATTTATACTCAGGGTGAGTGCCATGCTTTGCCATGGTTGTCTCTTGCCACATTGTCCACTGTCGCACTGCTGCTCCATACACTGAAGCCCAATCCCGCATAATCACGCAATTTGCTCTAGAAATATCAACAGTAGGAAGTGGCTTCATCAAAGGGACTTTAGAGAATGGTTTTGTCTCCTCTGGTTTTGGGTGCCATGACTTCCTACTTGTATGATGAAACGTGACCCATTGTGTCACCCTCTTGATTAATTCTTTCATCGTAAGTCCAAAGGATCTTACGTACTCCATCATGGATATGTTCACCTGTTTGACATGAACAGTGGAATGGCAATTCTCTACGTCCAGTGTCATACAACTCAAGAGATTAGTTTAACTGTAATTGAATGGTTGCAGATTGTTTCGTGCTCAAATCTTTTATTGCACTCTAGTCGAATGGCAAGTACACAAGATCATGTGACTTCTAACGAATACATTAGCATATCTGACTAATTAAGCGAGCATACATTAGTCACGTAACATCCCCCTTTGGGATGACAACTTAAAAACAATAATCACAATAACATAATCAATGTTCCTTAATCAAAACGTCAAGTCCAGTTTCTAACAAATGTTTAGAGTCCTTAGTGCAAGTAGTCCTTAAGGTAGGCAGGTTCTCTGACGATCCTTTTGGGGCGCTGTGCTACAGGAGCATGTACTACTTGCTGATTGGCCTCCATCTGGACCTATGCTTCCTGGGTGCTGTTGGCCCCAGCTTGAATCTTTTCCTGATTCTTGTTTGGAGTGTCTGACGGCGTCTGTTCAGAGGTTTGTTGGACTGGTGGTGTCCACTGTGGGGACCTCTGTGGTATGGGCTGCTCGCGAAGGTCTGCCCTGTTCCTTCGGTAGGTCCCTTTCTCCGTCTCGACCTCATAGGAACGTTCGTCATGTCTTTTCGCCACCATGGCCTGTTCCCATACTCTTTTTCCTAGTCGGAATGGTCTCCTCCTGACCTGAGCTCCTTCTTCTAAGGGGGAAAGGTCACGCGTTCCCCTGTTGTACTACAGAGCTTGCCGCACCTGCTTTGCCTGCATCTTCCTCTTTACTGTTTCAGCTGGTACACACTGCGGCTTTAGTAGCTCTTTGGTTGTCGGGAGTTGTGTCTTACAATGTCGGCCAAGTAACCGTTGGGCAGGACTGGTCCCCATTGACTCAGTAGGGGTGTGTCTATGCACCAGTACTGCAAGGTAAAAGTCACCTTTGGTGTCTTTGGCCTTTCGCAGAAGTCGTTTCGCCTCTTTGACAGCTGCTTCTGCCTTGCCATTTGTCTGTTGGTGTCCAGGACTTCCTGATTGGTGCTCAAAACCCCATTCGTTGGCAAAGTTACTGAATTTCTCGCAAGAAAACTGTGGGCCATTGTCACTTATGACGATGTCTGGTATGCCTTGTCTCGCGAAGTGGCATTTCAGCTTCTTTATGACAGTGCTGGCTGTTGTGTTAGGAAGGTGGTTGATTTCCCAGAAATTTGAGAAATAGTCAACAACGATCAGGTAGTCCTGGCCATTGATGGTGTACAAATCTGTACCAATCTTCCCCCATGGGCGTTCTGCAATTTCATGGCTCATCAAGGACTCTCTGTGCTGCCTCACCTCATATTTGCTACACGTCTCGCATTGTGAGATGTATTCCTTCAGCTCGGCGGTCATGCTGGGCCAGTACATGCACTCTCTAGCTCTCCTCAAACAGCCATTGACGCCAATGTGTGAGCTGTGAAGGTGTTCTTTCATCTTTGGCCGCATCTGTTTCGGGATGAGGAGTCGCTCTCCTTTGAAGATAAGACCGTCATAGACGCTCATCTCGTCCCTGAAGCTGAAGTAGGGTGCAAGTACTGCTGGAAGTTCTTGCATTTCCTCTGGCCAACCAATCTGGATGACTTCCTTTAACTGCTGCAACACGTCATCATCATGGGTGCTGCTTTAACTCCTCCAGTCTTTCATCAGTCATTGGCAGTAGTTTGACTGCGTTTACACGTTCGAATTCCCCTTGGGTATTCTCAGTGGTGGGAAGAAATACCCTGCTGAGGGTGTCTGCGAGGTACATCTCTGGACCTGGTTTGTAGACAATGGTCACGTCATACTTCTGAATCTTCAACAGCATCCCTTGTAATCTCCTTGGTGCGCTTCGGAGTGGCTTGTTGGAGATGGCTGCTAGCGGCTTATGATCACTCTGAACTGTCACTGAGCGACCGTAGACGTACTGGTCAAATTTCTGTTGCACTGTGAGTTCCTCACCAGGGTTGTAATACTTCAACAAGGGTGCCTCTGTCACAAGCTCTTTGACCTTCTCAAATGCTGCCTCGTGTTCATGTTGCCATTGCCCTGGTACATCTTTATGTGTCAACTGCTGTATGGGTTCTAGCACCTCTGCCAGCCGTGGCAGAAATTTTGCAAGATAGTTCATGAACCCGCAGAATCGCCTGACAGCTTTGACATTGTCTGGCTTGGGCATGTTGTGTACGGCCTCAATCTTTTCTGGGTCAGGTCTCAGGCCATCTGCTGTGACCAGGTGTCCCATGTAGGGTATCTCTTTACATAGCAGCTTTAGTTTCTTCTTGTTGAGCTTCACTCCTTGCTCTCTGCACCGCTGTAAGAACTGCTGCAGCTTGTTGTTGTGGTCAGCAGTTGCCTCCTCGTCTGTCCCCCCTACTCCATAGATGACCATGTCATCGTGTACTGTCAGCAGGCCATCTAGTCGGTCAAGTGCTTGGTTCAGCCTCTTCTGGAATATCTCACTGGCCACACTGACTCCAAATGGAAGGCGTTTCCACTGGTACCTGCCGTAGGGAGTGTCAAAAGTCGTCAGCCTGCTCGACTCGTCATCCAGTTTTACATGCCAGTAGCCGTTTCTGGCATCTATTTTTGTGAAAAACAAGAAGGGCACTCCAGAAAGGGGTCAATTATGGGATTCTATTGCTGGTAATTTAAATGCAATGGATTACCCAAAGTTTAAAGTTGCAAAATGGTCATGTCGCGATCGTTGGACACTGTTATGCACAAAGTATAAAAGAAGAATGTCAAAAGAAAGAGAAGCAACTGGAATAGATGCTGAGGTTGGAGAACTTGATGAGATCATTGAAGATCTTATTAGAATAGATGATGCTATTGACAGTGTTAAAGAAGGAAAGAAGAAAGCTGAAGCTGATAAGAAGGCAGCAGAAGAAATACGGATTAAGGCTATGGAACGGTTTGGAAACACCAGCTAAAGAGGTAGAGAGGATGGAGAGGAAGGAGCCAAAAAGAAAAAAAGGAGAAGTGGCAGTGATGCAGTAGAATTTCTCAGAGAAAAAGCAAAGTTAGAACATTCTCTGAGAGAGGAAGAGCTACAGTTAAGGAAAGATCAACAAAGTCAAACTCTGTTGATATTACAGCAACAACAGCAGATGAATCAAGCATTGCTCACCCTCATGCAAAAATTTTTGCCTAAAGAGAGGGATTAACTGTTAATTACTGTAACTTAATTTGTTGTTGTTAGCCAATGGTATCTTTTTCAATGGCACTTTGCAGAGAGAGATTTGAATTTATGTTCATTAACTTTCATAGGACAATGGCATTTATGAAAGAAATGTTTACATTTTCATGTAATAATCATTTGAATTCGCTTATTATTATAAATGCCTCTTGGAAACTTTGGTGGCTTCTCAGTCATGCAGAAGCTGGTACGAAAAAAGACAAATTAGGCTTAAACATTTTGTTGTTAATTTATTGGTTAAAATTGTTGGACTGTACATGTTGAATATATGTTTATAACAAGTGTCTGAAATTTTGTGCCTCACAAACTCTGCTACACCCAACAACCTTCGACCATGATAGGTTTATATGCATTTTTTTTTAATCAGCTAATTGGGAGGGGCTGCTCCTCAAATTTCATAAGGTAACGTCCAAGTTATTGCATATCATAACTGTTTCAAATTATAAATTTTCATAAGAAGATAGAGTTCTCTTTTCTTCAACACATCAGCTATGCAAAATAGTCTTGCAGGGTGGGAGGCTCAAGGTCAAAAAATGTTGCAGTATTTTCGCCATACAAGCAACTCAAAGCATTTTGCAGAAGTGCACAAACAATGTACATCTTTCCAATGTTGCTCATTCCTATCTTGAGATTCTTTTTGAAATCTATGAACTTGAAATATTCCATGATATCTCCAAATAACCACTCTACAGACACCCTTACTGAACTCATTGAACTGTTGTATACTTCCATCAAACATGTTGGGTTGACCGTACAGGAAGGAACTCGGGGTCAGAATGGGTAACTGAATGTCTTCATCCACATAACTCAGTGGTCTATTGTTGAGTGCCACTTCTATGTCCAATAGTACCTCTTGAAGTTCAGCCCAGGACAGTAGGCCATTTCCAATACACTTGTAAAAAGCTCTCTTGACGAGTCCCACCATCCTCTCGAATTGCCCTCCCCACCAAGGCGCACAACTCAAATTGAACTGCCACTTGATCCCTTGGTAGGCCAGGAAATTCTGAAACTTTTCATCTTGCATCACTTGTTTGATCCACTGGGCGGCACCAACAAAGGTTCTTCCATTGTCTGAATACACCTTTTGCGGTCTCCCGCGTCGGGCGATGAAGCACTTAAAACTCGCGAGGAATTCTTTAGTTTCCAAGTTGGGCAGCAAATCCAAGAACAAAGCTCTTGTCAGGCTACAGGCGTACAGCAACACGTATGCCTTTCCTTCTGTCTTTGTGTTCTTACGGTACTTCAACGGTCCCGCGTAATTGACGCCGACGACTTGAAAGGGCGTTTGACCTTCAGTCCGATCCCTTGGGAGGTCTCCTTGGGGAAGGGATGAAAACGCTTGTGCTTGAAACCGCCGACAGCCGTGGCAACTCTTCACTATTCTTCTGGCCAATCTTCATAGGCACGGAACCCAGTACAGCTCTTGAACCTTTGCCATGGTACTGACAACTCCCCCGTGGAGCGTTCCAAGATGAACTTGTGTTACGAGCTTCTCTGTAAAGTGCTGACTATGGGGCAAATACACCGGAAAATGCCCTTGAATTCTCCCTCGACATTCCAATATGCCGTCTTGGTTTGGTTGTAGATTCAGTTGCAACCGATCTTCTTGATAATGCTTATCCACTGTGGCTCTCATCTGGACTCTTTTCACCCAAAAGATTTTCGCTTTGTTAGTTTCTTCAGTGGTCAGCGGTCCCTTTAGTCTTCCTATTGTCTTTGAACGAACGTTGTGGACAAACCGCATCATCCACGCACAGATTTTCATCGTCTTCCAGTAGGTAAACTTCTCAAGGAGGATGTCTAGCTCGTCTGTAGTTGCTATCGCCACAGCAAAGACTTCTCGCGTTGCTTTCACTTCTGCCATTGATTCATCCGATGCCTTGGTCACAATATCTGGAGGCCAGCACGCTTTGTTGTTCAACCACTTCGGTCCATTGCACCAAGAGGGATGGTTTAGCACTTCTCCACCACAGCTTCCAGGGTCAGCAGGGTTCTCCGAGGTCCCTACGTGCCGCCAGGTCACTTCTGAATGTGCTTGTATTTTCTCAACTCTGTTGCTAACAAACTACTAATATGTGCCTGGGGATCTGATCCAGTGCAGGGCAACGGTGCTGTCGAGCCAGCAGTACTTTTCCATTATGGGAAATCCATCCAGGGCTGAAGCCACGTTTGCCAAGAGATTCACCGCCATATGTCCAGACACCAATTCTGGCCGAGGGATCGTCAGTCCCCTTTTGGAGAGTCTCGCTCTCGCTACCACAAGTCCCTGATTGACGCCTGACTCTTGAACGACTACAGCATACACAGCTGCGGCCACGCCCTTACCACTGGCATCACCAAAGGCGTGCAACTCAATTGATTGAATGTCCTCTTGATAGGCTGCTAAGGACCTTGGGACTGTAAGCTGCTCAGGAAGTTGCTCCTCCCATCGGGTCCAACTCTGCATCAACTCTCTTGGTAGCTTTGCATCCCAGTTTAGCTTGGCGTCACACACGTCACGGTAGAGGAGCTTACCCCCCAATGAGATGGGAGAGGCCAGTCCCAGTGGGTCATAGATCCTTGCCACTTTGCTTAAAACTCCCCGCTTGCTAGGATCAGCCTTCTCTTGTTGTTGTTGGTCCCCTTGTGGTCCAAGCATTTTTGAGCATTGACAAGTAACATTGGAATTTCTTGCTTTGTAGCTACTTCATGCAGGATTTGGCCAAGGGAATAAACATCACTGGCTTTGCTACAATGGGTGCCATTCAGAACTTCAGTAGCAATGCGCCTGTAGTGAAAAGTGTACTTCTTTGCAGGGGGAAATGAACTGTCACAGGCCTTTCGAAAGTCTATAATTTGGCCATGTTTATCAGTTACGAGAACATTGTTTGATTTGAGACCACAATGAAGAAAGCCTTTGGAGTGAATGTGAGCGAGAGCATCTGTGATATCATGACAAATGATCAGCCAGTCTTTGCTTGTCAGTGAACTGTTAACTTTCCTTAATATACCATTGGATTCTTTGCAATACAATGGTTTACTGACTGTTGTGGATGTATTTTCTTCCCCTTGGAACTCCATCACTAGAGATATAGGCTCTCTTTCAAGCTGGATTCCTATTATTGCAGAAATGTTTTTGTGTGTGAGAGTCTACATGATTTGTGCCTCCTTTACCATCTCTTTAGTGCTTTGCATCAGACATTGTTTTTCTACCACAAGAACGTTTAATCTTTTGAAAGATTTTAAAATGCACCGGCCATATGAACCCTGTCCTAGTATTAATTCCTTTTCACTGATTGGTTGAAGCTCCATGGATCAATTAAATTAACAGTGGCAAATTTGCAACTGGGTGGTCCTGATTTTGTATTCCTGTCTCTAATCTGGAATAAAGTAATAAACA